TTGATCTCGAAAACCTTCTTGCGCAGTTTGTAGCTCGAAAAACCTGCTGTACCTTCGAGAACCCTGCTTTTCGATATCAATATATCGAGAACCTCAAATCTGAAACCTTTACAAATCAAAAATCTAAGATATACTGCCTGCTCGTTTTTGAGAGACGATTTCAACAGTATAACTTTTACAATTTTTCCATCAGATGAGAGATTACAACGATTAAACAGGTAAAATATCGAAAAGACGAAAAACAGGGGACTTCGAAAACTTTTTGACGACGATCACACTCGAGAAGGCTTTGATACCAGTTGTTGGTCCCAGTTTATGCAGACTAACACACAGCTAGATGGATTTCATCGATAAACAGAGAAGAACGATTACCCAGAATGATTTATGCAATGTCGAGAACTTGGAAATCGCCTTTCTATTATATCGAGAAGTATTTTTGGCAGCGTAAGGCTAATGTGTATTGATCGATATCGGTACCTGTACACAAGACGCATATTTATAGGCGCTGTACAGGTTACCGATTTAGGTAAACCTTGGAAGTTGGGCCAAGGCCTTTTTGGGCCTTATTCCCTTTACCTTATTTATTACATAATAATTACTAATCTAATACCATAAATGGTATAACTAGTCTACTTTATTAAACAAGACTTAACAGACAAACTTGACCCACAATAAAAGTTCTAACAGAAGGAATTAAAGATATTAATGGTCAAAGTTGTGTGTTGGCAAATGTGAAACTTGTGTGTTGACAAATTTTGAGAACTATACAAATATTAGTAAAAAAAATTAAAAAAAATAGATTTTGAAATTTGAAAATGACAGGAATTTAACACTTTTTTTAATTTATTTTATAATACATTACTCTGTATTAAATAAAATAGAGTCAAAGTAGAACATATGAATAGTGCAAAAAGTCCAGTGTTGCATTTAAAAGAGAACGAATATAGTATATTACGATAGTATGTCTTAACGCGTTATATTATGATTTGATAGTAGTTTTCATTCTAATTTATTTATATATTAAATCAGATTTTTATAAGTTATATTTTGTCTTATAAGCATTTTGATTTACACATACATGCATTAACTAAGTACATTCCGTTAGTTTAACGTCAAAATATAGATAGAAGGGCCGAACTAATATGGATTACATAGATTAGGGACTGAAATGATAGATTTGTTAGTTCGGGGACCAAAATGATATGGGACTAATAGTTTAGGGACTAGTTATGCATTTTACTCGTTATTTTATAAAGCAAATCTTAAAAAAGGCCTGTAATCAATCTGATCTCTTGATTGTGTATGAGCTAAAGGCATTCCACTGATCTCTGTGATAAAGAATATAAGAAGAATTGACATCTCAAAATATGATCTTGCGAGAATAATTTGTTTCTAGAAATAAGTTTGTGTAGGTGAAGTAAAACTTCATTTCATATGTGTAGCTGGTTTTGCTTATAATGACATATTTATGAAAGGTCAAAGATAGTATACAGAGGTCATACAAAAACAGACATTATTGCATTTAAAAAGGCCCCGCCATCCACAACACATGAGTAGGCATGTCCCTCCCTCCCTTGTTTTTATTACACAACTTGATGTACAACTCATTTTAGAGGGAAAAATACAGTCTTTTTATTGATCAACCAATATTTACCTCTTTGTCCCAACTGAGATTTGATTTTTTAGGTTTATCCATTTTATTTTATAATAAATTCCAGGTGGTGATTAATTCTGCTGATTTATTGTGAAAAAGATTAAAATATATTTAACTTAGTGAAATACATTTTATTTTATTTTTATTATGAAAAAACTTTATATAATCAATCTAGCGCGTGAAATTAATAGTTACGTGTTTGATGGAAAAATTAATTTTCTTTAACACTCAATTGGTTTAAAAAAAAGTTGTTTTGTTTTGTAAAATTGAAACCATAATGGCACACTATTCCTATATTAGACCATGCTGGTGTGTAACCGAGAGAAAGAAATCCAAAATTAACATTGTGCACATACGCGTACTTTTTTAAACAAATCCATCATTTCTATAATTAGAAAATATTTAAGGGGATTCAGCATTGTACCAATGCAGTAATGCACTATAATGATAATGATAATGGTCTGTGGGGCAACCTAGTTTTAATGGGGTGGCTCTAAATTAAAGATACTTCTTGATAAAAAAAAAATTAAAGATACTTCCTCCGTCGCAATTTGTTTTGCAAAGTCAACATTTTTCGATCAACCAATAATAAAAGTCAACCCTCTCTATGAATACTTAATTCAATTTTTAATAATTAAAATTTACATATTCAAAAACTACATTAAAATCTCTTCAAAGTTGTAAACTCCAAATTAGAATATAATTAAAAATTGACATCCTAATTAAGTGAACGAAACGAGACTGTTTGACTAAGAAAAGTCAAATTTGCAACTCTTTTTGGGACGGAGGTAGTACTTCTTGCATTGGGCAATGACACACAAAAGTGTAGAAGATCTTCCAAGAAATGAGCTTAACGCTTACAAATTAGCCTTAAAACAGAAGGATGTGATGTCCAATCACACTTTAATTAAGGTAATCGTGCAGCGTTATGGTAATGCTAGTATGCTACGTACCACGCTAGGCACCTCATAGCTTACTAACGGGTGACCACTATATTGACTCGGCCATAATATAAAAACATTGTCAAGTTTAAGTTTAACGTTATCTTAATGGAAACAGATGAAATAGAAAAAATAGAACAACTTCAGAACCACGGGAGGAATGCATTTTAAGGCTACATATCTACGTGGCAAGTTTTTATTTGTACACGTTTTCACCATCCAATAAATATTTGAAACGTACAATATAGTTTTAAAATGTACCAAAGCATGTACTACTTTGAGCTAGGCTTGGACCCGGTTCGGGCCACCCGGCCCGGTACTGTGCGGACCCGGCCCGGGAACCGGTTCCGGGTCTAGGCCCGGTTTGGGGTGGTACGGGCTAGGTAAAATCCGAACCGGCCCGGCCGGGCCCGGGTCCGGTTCGGGCCTAATTTTTTTTTTTTCAGTTTGTTTTTGCTTCCTTCCGGGTTGGGCTGAGTCACTAGGGTGTTTTGACCCGGTTTGGGAGTGGGGGGGTGGGGGTGGGGGAGTAGTTAGGAAAGAATAAAAAAAATTATAACAGGCCCGGCCCGGACCCAGTGGATACCCGGGCCGGTCCCGAGCCTACCACTTAATATCCAAAAGCCCGCCGGGCCTAGGCCCGACCCGGCCCGAATCCACCCTAAACTTTGAGTAGTTACGGAGTATATTTTTATTGAATCGGATATGTTTCATTACTTTGAGTCTTTGACTGCATTTGCTTCATTGAATATTTAATTTATCTCACTAATTTTGTCAAATATCTCACCAAAAGTGTTCAATTTATTGATAGTCTTACAAGATTGACTCTTCTCTTTACAATAAGTTACTACGTATTTGTTTATCTATCTCTCTCTTACCCAAAAGTGAACTACAAAGTTTTTAATTTCATATCTCATATGTCAGTCAGTACAAATGAAATAACTTGGACCGAAGTTTTCTGATTTTGTATAAATTGATCTATTTAAGTTGTTCTCATTTTGTTTGTGAAAACTTATGTAGTACGTAGTATGTGTCATATATTACGTTTATTATATTACTCCGTATTATCTAAGTGTACTTTATTATATTTAAGTCTAATTTAATCTATCTTAATTTGGCATGGCCCGCAAAAATATCAATACAATTAAAAAAATTATAAAGATATTTTCATTAATTATTTTTTTTATTTATAATTTCGCACAAACAACAAGGCACATGCACGTTTACGATTGTGTGTGAATATAAAAATGACGTCGATGTTAAAACTTTTTTGTGGCCTGCAAACAAAACTTTTTCCACATCTGAATGATACCTAGTGGCTAGACATCTACGTACAAGTGATATTGAGGAGATCAAGGGTGGAAGGCCCACTGATATTTCACTTATCTTATTGACGTCTTATCTGGTCATAGGTGGGAAATGATTTGATAGAAATGGTCTACATTTTGCTAGCTACTTGTGTTTGTATCATTCCCTGAAAGAATATAATCATCAGCTTGTGATATTTTGGACATCTGGTTAAAAGGTCTGCAAGTTTAGCATACAAGTTTAAGCAGCATGTCCTAGTATCGACACATCAACTTACTTGCTCAATTAGTTGCCTTAAAAATTACGGAGTATGTGTTTTAGTTAGTAGTGTGTACAAAAAAAACATACAAATGGTAAACAGTTTTCCCATAAAATAATGATATACTCCCTCCGTCTCATGTTTCCGGTTTCCTTTTTGAGCCGTCCCAAAAAATTGTTCTATTTTCTCTTTTTGAAAAGTTTTGTGTGACTTATATTCATTTACTTTTTTCTTACAATATCACAATCATACATTTTCATTTTATTCCCACTTTCTTAAACTTCGATTCAAGTTAATACGGAAACAATTTTTTGGGACGGAGGGAGTATTAGTTCCTCAATTATGATGCTAATTGATCTAATTAATCTGTGGCCCTTGCTCACATCGCCTCACATCTAATTTGTCTAATCAATCAATTGCCATAAAAATGTACTCCCTCCATTCCCAAAACAAGTTCCTCATTGATTTTCTCACATATTAAAGAAATCAATTTACTAGGGGAGTAAATTTTACTGTTTTGACACTATTTCAACACTGTTTGAACATTGTTTGTCACTGTTTAGCACTGTTTTGATGTAAATTATTTGCCAAATAAGAAATGGTATTAAAAGGGGAACTTAATTCAGGGACTTCCCAAAGAGGAAAGAGTGAACTTGTTTCAGGGACGGAGGGAGTAGAATTCTTATTTTGAAATTTCACATTATTTCTACTTCTTTTTAGTGCAATTTATTTTATTAATTACATACTACGTATATATTACGATTATTACTCCGTATTATTTTAGTATGATAGATTAAAATAAAAATAAATATATGTAATTAATAAATACTCCATATAATATGAACAATATACTTTGTGTTAAACTATTATTAAAATCATATCTATAATACCAAAATCACACTATATTAAACTACATCAAAGTGATCACACCAGATCAAACCCAAGCATACTAAACAAATTAATAAAAGAATTTTATCGAAATGCATTTCAGGTAATCAAAGTAAATCTTCACCTGTGTTACCCTTAGTTTTGACCATACTTATTAAGACCAGACCCATAAATTTTGATCCAAATGCTGTGGTCACTACTCAATAGTTGTCCAAGTTAACACTCCATAAGTTTAGACGTCAGCTCAGAGTATAGCAACTCAGTAGCTTCCCTCACCTTCCGCCTGTCCCAAAAGGATGCCACAACCGCAGTCCATGTTCCTCTACCAGGTATGCACCCATCAATCACCATCTCCTCGATGATCCGCCCCATCTTGTGCAAATCTCCCTTCTGGCAAAAGCAAACTACAAGAGCTTCAAATGTCTTGTCCTCAACCGATATTCCTCTACTTCTCATGCTCAAGTACAACTGAAAAGCCCGTCTTGGATCATTCACACCATCAATAAGTCCTTGGACCACTGAATTATGGATCTTTACATGAAGGCTCCAAGTCACCCGGTTTGGAGTGACACCACTAAGAACCATCTCATCGAGATAATTAGCTGCTTCCTGAAACTTGTTGATTTCACAAAACAGACTGATTATATTCCAGTACAATCCTGCATCAGGTTTTAATTCCTGAACCTTCATTCTATCAAACATCTCTAATGCTTGACGAAGTTTACCTTCTCTACACAGCCCGTGGATTAATGTGCTGTAAGTTATCATATTTGGCATCTTGTGTTCACGGATCATCACCTCTAAGAGTTCCAAGGATTTTAAAGAACGCCCATTCTTACAAAGGCCATCCATAAGGCATGTGTAAGTAAACACGTTAGGATCGACATGTTTCGTTCTCATAACTTCAAGCAATGTTAAAGCTTCGTCCAAGTCACTAGTGAGACAGAGACCATGAATCAGAGTAGTGTATGTTATAACTGTGGGTAAACATCCTTTTGCTTCCATCTCTACAAAAAGCTCTTTTGCTTCAAGAATCCTCCCCAATTTACAAAGCCCACTAATGATGGTTCCATATGTGTATGAATCCGGACTGCATCCATGCTTAGACATCTCACGGAGTATATTAAAAGCGGAATCCATTGTTTTTTCGTTTTTGCAAAGTGCTTTCATGAGAATGTTGAGTGATGCTGTGTTGGAAGGAATACCACTTTCCCTCATGTAGCGGTAAAACTTAAAAGCTGTTTTTAACCTGTTTTCGTTCACAAGGATGGAGAAAACTGTAATGTAGGATTTCTGTGTAGGTTCACAATTGTAACCCTTCATGGTTTGGAAAATTCTAACCACATCAAGTGGTTTGTGAACACGGCCGTATGCTCTGTACAAAGAGAGGAAGACATCCTCTGTGATCATACACTTCTCCTCCTTCATTCTAGTGAGCATATCCTCAGCTGACTTAAACCTGTTGGCAGAAAGTAGGCGTGAGACTACCATTCCAAAAGTGGTGTGGTCGTGCCTGAAGCCATTGGTATACTCTGCTGTTGCAGCATCGAATATCAGAAGGGCTTTATGAATGTCTTTTTCTGCTTTGATCAACTGTTGGACCAGGCATGTAGTGATTTCCTTAGGCCACTTGATCATTGTCTTGCTGCCCATTCCTTAGAAGAGGCGTTTCATCGAACAACAGTGAGGTTGCATCAATAACAAAGAGAGGAAGACATCCTCTGCTGTTTATTTCTAACCTATAACAATAAATAAAGTTCGCACACAAATAAATAAAGTAGGAAAAGGCATCAATATATATAAAAAGGGAAACGTAGGAAAATGCTTCGCACACGAAGATAACCAAGTAAATTAATTGATAACTATTGGTGTAATTGAACTATTGAAGTAACCGTTTCTGAATCTGAATAGATGTAATCATTTGGACAGAGCTAGACTATGGATACGGGGAGCACTCTGGAGACATGGATTAGTAAAACAGACTAAAAATTTGACATGAGGATCAGGGGCGGATCCAGTGCTGTTCAAGACTATGCACATGAACACCCAAAAAAATCAGTTTTCTTTACCATAAGTACGTCATTTTAGTTTTTTCTAAAAATTTTGAACTGTCGTAGACGCCGGCAGGGTGTTGTCTCCTTCAGACTCTAGTGGCCACCGCACATCTTTGCTCTGCTTCAGCATTCCTGTTGCCGCCGCCCGACGCCCGACGGTGCTCTATCGTTTGTCGAGAGTTCCATCTCCCTAGTCACGAGCTCCAGATTCCCAGCCTTGGATTTTCTCCATCTCGCGAGTTGCAATGGTTTCCGTCGTCATAGTCCACCAACGGTACTCTAGTCTCCTTAATCCACGGGTTGAAGGTAAACAGTTCCACCATGGCATCCTCTTCTCGCGATCATGCCTGACGCCTCCACTCCACGTTAGTGGTTAGACCTAGTTTTTGTAAATCTAGTACTCCGTATGAAATTTATAAATTCATTTTCTAATTCCCATTTCCCACTAGTCACTACTTGCCTAGTTGCCTTGAAAGTATTGGAATATATGATGTCAGGTTTAGTGGATTGAAAACATTTTATACAAATTGAATGTCCGAACTCTTGATGTCGACAATATAATTTTGCTTAAAGTTTTTGCTCAATATATGGGTGTTTTACTCAACATTTGCTTAATTTTTTGCTTAATTTATCTGTTGAATCCGAGTATGATTTTTGCATAAATAGTTTCTGTTGATTTCAAGGATTTATTGAGAAAAATTTACTTCATTTATGTAAGTATTACTAATTAATATCAATTCTAAAAGGAGCCAATAGCAATTCTTAATTCTAAATTTTAAAGTAACTTTGAACACCCAAATTGCAAGTGCTAGATCCGCCACTGATGAGGATCACTCTGAGAAAAACTGAACCAGCAAAATAACAGTGTAGCAAAATATTGGGTGGCAAACATTAAAATAATAAACAATTAAAAATAAATTCCTGCACTTTGTTCACTACATAGAAGTGGAGTAAAACAGTTCCATGCACGAAAAATTAAGCAGTTTTAAAAGCGGTTAGGCATACTGCTGATCAATTCCTGAATAAATATACAAATTTCGCTCAGCAGAGTATGTACAGAGTTCATATTCATCAATTGGATTTGAGGTTGGTTGAGTTTTATACAATCGCAAGACAACAATTAGAAGCATATTATTTTTCATCAGTTTTTTTCCGGGGCGGGAGAAACAGGTAGCAAAATGTTGTTTCACAAAGTGATGAAATTGAGCAGCTCAATAGCATGGAATTGAGGATATTCAGAGCATATACATGGTCAATTTATAGCAAGTAGATTGACAGAAATGCTGTGAACAGCATGGCATGTGTTCATCATGATGCTCAGGTTGGTTTAACAAAACCAAAATTGTAAACAAAAATGCACCCTGCAGAAGTATATGTATTGAAGTATTTAAAACATATCACATATGAACAGGCAACAATCATAGAGAAAGATGCAACAATCACAGAACCAAGTATACATTCTGAAAAGAAAAACAAAGTTTAATTGACCTTTATAAGTAAAACTGAAACTAAATGTAAATTATTAGATGTAAAGTACAAAAAAACATGTGAATCTAAATAAACACAAAATTGTAGCAGATAAATTTGGTAAGGATAGTGAAAATACACTTATGTTTTCTTTAATTGCAAATTCATCTCAAAATCTAAACATATGATGTTTACATCTGAAAGTTAGACATCTATAATCTATTAAGATTATTAAGATGAAAGATAGTATAAAGACATTAAAATACAGATTATAGATAAACAAATGACAATATATAAACTATTGATGGTAAAAAAACTACAACCTCGTGAAGTAACAGTTTTCTATTTGAAGTACAAATCAAATTTTCATTACGCATAATATTATTACTAAATATCAAATTCAAGGTAGAAGTCATCCATCTTTAATATAAAAAAGTTTAGTTAATGGCCAGTAGATAAAACGTAGCAGTTTATGCGTACAAAATATCTTATGGTTATGATTGGTCGCAAGGAGTTTGGTCAGGTTTAGCTTTAATCTATGCATAGCTACCACAAATAACAACTCAACTTATGTTTATGTATAATATAGTATTCTAGGTACTCAATTGTATTTCTCTTGGTATACTTTTGTACTCAAGATTTGTTTAAAAGAAAAAGAGGAAATAGGAGGCAAACAAAACTCAGTTTAAGTAAAAAAGAAGAGCACAAAATAAAAAGCCGGGCATTTCATGATTTTGATGCATGATTCTTAGCATAAAATAGTATAATGGAGTATCTAATATTACCACACAAGCATTTAATTCAACATGCATAATAAAAAACATAATCTGAATGTATAATAGATTTACCTAAAAACAATTGAGAGGTTGGTGGCTTGGTGATAAATCTGTGAACATCTTCTTTGACTTTCATTGCCATCTGTTCGGCGACGATTTGTCTATTAAAATATTAAAATGTTATACAAGTACAATTTTGTTATTAGTGATGAAAAACAAAATCAGAATCCGAATAAGATGAGAAACTGGAATTAGAACTTGAATTAACTAAAACACCTCATATGACACATAAACAGGTTCGTTTAACGCATCAAAAAATATTGAGAAAAAAGGACAATTTATTACGAGCACAAACAAAAAATGAAAAGAAAAGTAAACGGATATCAAACATCAATTCTAAACTCATAAAAATGCTTTTCATTGAGGAAACTAAAAGGTTCGTTGTTGTCAAAGGGAAGAACGGCTTGAGTTTTTGAAATCAGAACAGAAAAAAAATGGTAGCCAGGTCATAGCGAGGACACTGTAAAGGGGTGGGCCAGATGTGAACTATTTTTTTAAATAAAAATCTACTAACAAAGTTAAAACCAAGTGCATTAGAAAATTTACAACAATTAAATACCACGTATAATGCATTAAACTAAAAAGTCAGCTGCCCTCGCGGGTCTTTTACTTTAGCCAATTCATCTATAAGAGAGTTAATATCTATAGTACTAACAAAGTCATTTGAGCTCCCAGTTTGAACATTTCTTGTGGGTCTAAAGAAAAAAATGCAATGTTGTTTTGGATTTCTTGGAAGGATATTGTGGAGTGGCCATAGTTTTCTATTAAATCAAAGTGTAAGATTTTAATAACGAGTAATAAAAACCATTAAGATAAAATGCAAGTTATTTAGAACTTTAATAGTTCAATTTGTAATTTTGGCAGAAAACAAAAGATAAAATGTTAGAAACATCAACCTAACAATTGACATTTATATTCAGTAATCATCCATTACATTGACTCTAAGAATTAACAACTTAAAGTCTTATACTACGTATAATCAAGGTTGTCAAAATCGTATTTTTGAATCGAATCGGAATGAGTATTTAAAAATCGAATCGTAAAATCGAATCGTAAATCGTAAGATTTTATGAAACAATTAAATAAAAATTACTAAAAATTTTATATAAAATAAAACTTACAATTTAACATTTAAGAAGTCAAACTATTACAAATTCAAGTTATAAATCAAATCATTATATGTTTAAGTCTTAAAATGGTGTGTTCATTATATGTTTAAGTCTTAAAATGGTGTGTTCATTAAATAACGTTGTATTTAAAAAATCAAAATACAATGTTATAATGAAATTTCACAATAAATGTATGAATTGAAAGAGCCAATTAAGCATTAGTTCAAATACATTTTTTCTGAAGTGAACTGTACAGGTATGTTAAGATCATGGTGGTAGTAAGTAAAAAAAGTTGGTATTGCTAAGTTGGTAGGCTGATATATGCGTGTGAACGATGCAGGTTGGAATCCCTGCTTGGGTAATACTTTTTTGTTTTTAAAGAATTACGCTTACCTCTCATTTACAACTCTCCCACACCGGATAAACCAAAGCAATTTCCCCTCCTCTACCACTATATATTCCTCGGGTATTCACCTGAATAGGCAGGTAACAACATCAGTTTGTTACTAGCTCAAGCAATTTGGGCCGTGTTTGGCTGGATCTAAACATGAGTTTGTAAAATCGTGAAGTTGGAAGAAATCGAGATTTTAAACTATTTTATCCGATTCAAAAACGATTTTACACGATTTTTAATATTTCCGATTTTTTGTCCGATTCAAATCGGTTGTATGAAGTTGAATCGTAAAATTGTATGATTTTACGATTTAACTCGCGATTTTAACAACCTTGCGTATAATACTTTGATTTACTAACAAATAATAATAGAAAATACTCAAATAGACTCACTCGAACAGTCGAACACACATTGCAAAACTGCCAAAACACATATTCAACTTCAAACACCGTAACACATTACTAATTTACACATATTGGAATTTGGAAAACACATACCAAGAAATGATAATTAGAACCAGATATTCTAAATTTTAAATGAACAATTTAATTAATACCCTTCTGTTTTAAAGTATATAATTAAATGTTTGCAGTATATGAACTTAGAGGTCTATTTAAGCTTCTTACACCCTTATACATCATAATCTTTTATTCACATAATAATATTTTAATTATGCTCTCATGATCTTCTATTTGAACACTAATGACTGTTAATATAAAGTAAGGATGTGAGATATGCTAATAGTTATTGTAATTTGGTATGAAATTGGTTTAGGTTTTTAAGCAAACACTTTGTGTGCATTAAGGAAGTTTTGTCTTTTAATTAGCAACTAACCCAGGTTTGATAAATTCTGAAAGTTTTGATCAATAGTGACATTCAAAGAAAGTAAAAAGCAGTGAATCTGAAGCAAATAAACCCCTAAGTGTGTTGGCTCGGATTGTTTTCATATAATGAACTAATGAACTGTAAGCCTTATTGTTTGGTTTGAAACTTCCATTAAAAGCAGAGCATTTTCAGTTTTAGTTCTAAGGCAGAGAGTACGCAGGTTACTCTTGCATATGTTAGAGCAGATATAGTAGATAATTTTGAATTCGTGCATCCACAGGAGTTATACAATAGCGGAATTCAGAAATGGAGGTGTAAGAAGGAAGAGTACCTGTTCTTTGTGGCAGAATGAGATGAGAAGGGGGAGAAACAGTGGCAGCATAAAACGAGTAAGGAAGAAACGCACTGGTCCTCTCAATTTGGAAGTGAATGCAATAACCTTCGCGTACGGTTGGTGCGGTTTTTTGCGGTTCCATAACGGCAAGCGATGTTCAAATAGGCATGTGGATGCTGCCTGGAAAAAAAACTCCGTAACCGGAAAGACTTCCAAAGAGGCAAAGAGGAGGTCTGATGGAAAAAGAACGTGATTAACTCAGATTTCGAGCCCTTTTAGCTAATAATCACTTTTGATCATCTTGAGGAAGCACAGGTTCAAGTCTCATGATTAAGCACGTTGTCAAAAAAATGTATACTTCTCAGTAATAAGGAGTGTTTAAAAAAAGGGAGAAGGTACAAATATACCCCTGCACTATGGGTGGGAGAACAAATATACCCTTATTCTATTTTTCAGAACAAATATACCCCCGAAGTATATGTTGAAGTGCATATATACCCCCAAACTTTTAAAAAGTGCAAAAATACCCCTCATGCTCTTATAAAGACGCAAATTTACCCTTAATGACTTTAAATAGATAAAATAAATTTCAAAAAACACCAAAAATAAAATATAAATTCGAAATTTAAAAATAAAGATTTATTATTATGTTAAAATATTAATTCTTTAATTTTAAATTTCAAAATTTTTATTTTGTCGTAAATGAAGCACTTCAAATTCATTAATACTAGTATTACTTTTATTCTTGTTATGAAATTTTGAACACATTGTTATATTTTTTTAAGTAACATTCTTTGATTTTGTTTAAACTTAATAAAATTAAATTCACTATTTTGTAATCTTGACCTATTTATCATCATACAAAATATGTAATTTTATAGTGCAAAGAATGCAAAAAAATTAATTTTTGGTATTGGAACACATAAGTTAACACTTTTTTCGAAAAAATCTTAAATATATAGTAATGTTTTGAAATAACATTTTATACTAACAATATTTAAATGTGATTTACAAACAATAAAAGGGAGAATTGGACACAAGTACACTTTTAAAATTTTTATTTTTTAATTTTGAATTTATAATTTATGTTTGGTGTTTTTTTGAAATTTATTTTATCAATTTAAAGTCAATAAGGGTATTTTGCTCCTTTATAAAAATATGAGGGGTATATTTGTACCTTTAAAAAAGTTCAAGGGTATATATGCACTTTCACAAATACTTCAGGGGTATATTTGTTCCGAAAAATAGAACAGGAGTACATTTGTTCTCACACCCATACTACAGGGGTATATTTGTACCTTTTCCCTTAAAAAAATGAACAAAAAATACTATCTTCACGTCATTGGAAAAGCAACACGACAGTGGTTATTTAGATAATACTATGTAAGTAAATGAGATAGTTCGATTATATATTTTGAGAAATAATATAATGATCGCCGGGATTTGTACATTCATACACTCCCTTCGGATTTCTATTATGAACTTTCATTTATACGCTTTAGTTAGTACATCATTATCCATATATACACAATGAAAATAGAAAAATCTCATAATTTAGTAGTTGTGGGACAAATAATAGATAAGAATGTAATAAAAATATAACTAAAAATAAACGGGGCGGGTACGGGGCGGGCATGTATAAAACCGTAACCGCTCTGTTACCCGTAAACGAGTATTCCCGCCCCGTACCCGTTATCCGGTCGATGCGATTCTCCCCGTTTTAACCAGGACGCGCGGTTCGGTGCGGGTACCCATCGGATCGGACACAATTGTCATTCTTACTCACGAGCAATAGGATTCATAATCCCGACTTGGGCAACTGTAAGCCTATCATGAACGACGATGTATTTTCGTCATTTATCTTGTGTTGTACTCGCCACATACCAAATGTAAAAATCAAACTAGAGTCACCCCAAGAAAACAAAACTCGGTAAAAGCATAATCCAAAAGAATTAAAGGAAAAGCCAAAAATAAAAACAGAGTACTTTAATAAAAAGACCTGCAAAGGAGACCAAGGTGGCGGCTCAGGAGGGGGGCGAACCGTCGATTTGTCTTCTCCCTTGTTCAGCCTTCCACCGCTCCCTATCTGCTCATTGCTCGTGCCGCCTCCACATTTGTCCATTATTTTCAGCAACATTTGTCGTCTCATGTATGATCCAGCTCGCACTCTTACTCATGCCAAATCCCCAACGAACATGCCTCATACGTCGGCCAAGGGAATAGAAAAACGGCACACAAACAGTTCTAGCCTCCTACCCGGCGCACACTCTATCGAAACCTTCTAGCTAGAGCTTTGACGCTGCCCCACGCCGGAAAATCGACCCAACCTAGCCGCAGGCTTGGAGCGAGGGAGCTCTTGAAACCCACATGATTATTATTAGTTATAGAATCAAATGTGTAAATGACAAAAGTTACAGGATCAAAACCGGGCACACTAGGAAATTATGGGAAAATATTATATTTACAAATTAATCACATTCACATTAAAACATTCACATTACCATTTACTGTAATGTGTCACATTGCACCCTATTTAGACTATTAATATGGAGTATTAATTATCTCGTATACATTATTCGTACGTATTTATACTATTTATTATAACACCATTTACACAAAAGTATAATACGGAGTATCAATTACTTCAACCAACTTTTATATGTAGTTATATTAACAAACCTGTTGTAGGAGAATTGAGCGTATAATTTCATTATAAAAGGCCCTATAAATAGGGTGGTATTAGGGTTTACAGAGGCCAATGGGCCCATAATACATAGTTTACATAGAATGATCCTAATGCATATTCTATATACACGATAGCACATTACACAGAATTTCCGTCAACATTCCCCCTTGTGCTGAGTTGTAGATAGAATTTTGATATCAGACTTGTTGCATCGTCAAAACCATGTCAAGTAACAAAAAACCCTGTGGGAAAAAATAACCTTGACTAGACAAAAAGAGTATAGCATCACGATAGACTTCTTCCATTAAGTCTATCTTTATTTGATCCTTTCTTTGATCAATAAAGTTTATATGTATTGTTACCTCATTAAAAACCTTACCAAGTAACAAAACCCGGTGGGAAAAATAAAACTTGATTAAAGGAAAAGAGCGTAACGTAGTGTGTGTGGGGAGACTCCCCCTCATGTCTACATATATCCTTAATATTTACATTAATCAAGGACATTTGGAAAGACTATGCATTCCAATACTTTTTATATTTATCACCATATCGAAGGCACACAAATAGAAGAATATATTTCCTTTAATTCTCCCCCTGTGTGCCAAGTATAAGGTGATAAGAGCAAAAAAAATTAACTTGCTAAAACCTTGCCAATGAACAAAACCCACTAGGAAAAAATAAACATCGGTCAAAGGGAAAAAATGATGCACTAATAAGCACACATCAATTACTTTTGACTGTGATATATTAATTATGTTCTTTCTTCAACATAATTTTACTTTTGCAAAATTAAATTGTTGGATGGTGCATATTATGGTGCTTAAAAAAACCTTACTAAGTAACAAAACCCAATGGGAAAAATAAAACTTGGTCAAGACTCCCCCTGAGTATAACACATCAATTTTTTTTATCATTATAACACATCAATAATAATCCAATATTTACTTGATATTTACTTTTATCAAGTTATTCCGTACATAATATCATGATTTCTTTCATGAAAAGTATATACTTAGTTTAGAAGATATCAATGCGGTCAGAGTGCATTCATCATCAGTAAAGTCAAATCACACTACTTTGTATTAGAGTGAGACTTTGATATTTTCAATTCCTTTAGGAATAATACTATCATCAATCATTCAATTCAATTTATAAGGGATGAATAAAAATTACACCAATGGTTTCATATAGATATCAAAGTACATTCTTGATACCATTCCAATGACGATATACGATGTGTTGGTCCTGAGCTATTTTCAGCTAACATGTTCTTGAGAATGTAATATTTGGTCGAATGTGTTTGTCAAAGTACAATCACGCGCATATTGCACTTTCATAGGGAAATCCTTCTCCCAATAAACTTTCAATAATGGATATCTTTCCTAGCATCCATATTTCAACCGATCATGAGAGTGCTAACAATTTACAATTATCCATGTTGATTTGCCTGAGAACCCTTTTGGATATATACAACTGGTGAATTATTATTCAACCAACTCGGTGTTTTCAAAACAACCCGAGTTTCACAAGATCCTTTATCTCAATTACGACTTTCAAGTATCTACGATTTCTCGTTTTCTTTAATATGAGTACATAGCATGTGTATATCTTCGACATATAATGATACTTGGAGGTCAAACATAATCTATCATTTTCTATCCCTTTTCAGTCAAGTGGTCACCTAGACGGGTATGTCACTCTCGTCTGGATTGAATTAATTCAAATGTGACCATTTCAATGTAAATATACAATATAATTAAAAACCACTTGATTAGAGATGATAATAATAAAAACATAACAACTACTTCATATATATCTCTTAAATAAAATTTTACTGAGACATTCAACAGCCACAACCTTTAGTTGCGCTCCAATACTTTGGAGACTACTTATAGATTAAGTAGTTGAACATTTTTGTGTTAAAAAAATAGAGAAGTATCACTTTTCATATTTGAATCGAGGGCGTTGTGAGAATTATTAGGACCTCATTATCTCAATACGCTTTCTAACAAAGAATTGTTTGATTTCCTGCAGGCTTTACACTTGGTTGATTAGCACTATCATACCAAATACCTGTCTCTTTGTCAAATATTAAATTTATACCTGGATTACTTGTACGCATTTAGGCCAATATTCTGATTGTTTTAATATTGCAATAGAGTATGGTTCGATATATCATCGTGCTCTATATTCCTTTGAGCAACCGTATAAATATATCGTCAGTATAAGTGTAAGGTCTATCATTCGACTCATACACACTTTCATTAACATTGAGATTTTAATTATCTGGAATCTTTTAAACTGCGGGGCGTCCCCCATTATTGATTCATGGACATATTTAGTCAGAGATAATCTCGTGAGAGGAATTCATATGATGACGAGTATATTGATGTGTGCCTGATCTACCTTCTATTACTTGGGGTGGATACTTAATCGAACCATGTGGCTTCCCTCTGTTCCTTTCGAGAGCCATGGCCTCAACCACAACCCCACTATTTGTGATTGCAATGCTTCTTCCTTTAGCATTGTGTCTCTTGATTTGAATTCTAGCCTTATAAATATATTTATAGCTAATGTATGTGATGTGATCACTTACGTTGCTTATGGTGATTCTAATCCTTTACTTCAATATTACATTTTGAAGCTTGGGAGTCATTATTAAGACA